TAGTGTGTATCTAGTATGATTCATATGTATCTGACTTAAAATCTGGTATGAAATTATTAAATAGTAAGATAAAATATATTTATTTCAAACTATAGAGAAAATTAGCAAATATGATAAAAGAATGTTTATGTAACAAAGTAGTTTCTCCTTTTATTAAATTGCTTTCCAAACCCTCATTACTTCTTTTGAGAAGGTAATATATAGGCCTAATGTCACAGTTACAAGTTGAAATTCCCATTGTAAGGGGTCCGAAAATACTTTTACAATCACATTTCAAATGTAGGAATTTTGAAGTTGTGTTATTATTTGCACTACAATATTAGGAACTAGTAGTGTACAACAGTGGCATGATGCACAAATTTTGTGAGCAATATTTTATTCATAAAGAACGGGAGCTAAGCGCGGAGCAAGGAGAACTTCGAGTGGAGAAGCTTTGAGCACTGATAATCCAAAGCTCTCACTCATATCAATTGGTTCATCTGAAGGCCTCTTCATGTCAAACCCCTGCAGCAACATTGCTATTACAAAGGGCACCACTTGAAGGACCAAAGAAATTCCAGGGCACATTCTTCTTCCACTACCAAATGGTATCAACTCAAAGTGATTGCCCCTTACATCGACATCCTTGTGGGTCGTCAAGAACCTCTCTGGTTTAAACTCGTGAGGATTTTTCCATATATTAGGATCGTGATGAATCTTCCATAAGTTCACTAATAAGTGAGTGCCTTTTGGTATATCGTATCCCCCAATAACACAATCCTCCATTGACTCGTGTGGTACAGAGAGCGGTCCAGCTGGATATAAATGTAATGCTTCTTTGACAATTGCTTGAAGATAAACCAAGTTTTTAATATCCGATTCTTGGACCCATTTGTTCTTGCCAACATGAGCGTCTATCTCATCTTGAGCCTTTTGAAGTGCTTCGTAGTTGTTTAAGAGTAAACATAAAGTCCATGTTAAAGTTACGATTGTGGTGTCTGTACCTGCCGATAGTATACCCTGACAAATTCAACATGATATTCAGCAATCTTCTTTGAAATATTAGGTAGGTTTTAGAAGATAATGAAGAAACGTACATACCATGCATGTGGCTTTGATAGCAGTATCGGCATCAAATGCAGGCAGATGTTTGTTTTCACAAATGGAAAGCATGACATCCATGAAATCTTCTGCTTCACCAGATTTAATCTTCTTCGTTTTGTGCTCTGCTAACCATTCTTCAACAACAGAGTCCATTTCTTTAGAAACCTCCTTCATTGCTTTCTCATAGCCTCCAATATCCAGCCATCTTAAATAAGGTAAATAATCAGCCACAACAAAAGCACCTGACAATTCGAACAATCTCCTAATTGCTTTGTGACCCTTATAATTTATTCCTTCTTCCTCGTTACTCCTTCCGAATAACATTTTCTGCATAGTATTCATAACTATATCCCCAATCCATTCCTTCATTTCCATCTTCACAACACCATTTAAATTCATGTTCTTCGCCCAATTATTATGAATCTCTTTAATACCTGATTTTACCTCAAATTGTCTGATGTGTTTGAGCATCTCGATTCGGCGAGTAGAGAAAAGTTCAATTGTGGCAATCTTCCTTGTTTCTCTCCAGTAAGGACCGTAAGAACAAAGTCCAAAAAAGGCTTGTTTGTAAGCCATGATCTCTGAAGACATTGATTTAGGCCGACCTGCTAGGGCTAAATCGTTAGTTGTTGTTATGAATGGGCCTAGACCAGTATTGACAAAGCAGCCCAAAGCCGAATTAAAAGGCTATGTGTGGGATCCGGGTTGATAAATAGAGACTTGGGAGAGCAAAATAGGTTTATGCAAATTATGTGAAACTTTGGCTTTCTGATCCTCTCATCTCCTTTCTATGGTCTAGAATTTCATCCCCTTCTAGTTACCCTCTTCTATGTTATCTATCTATAATTAGTGTGTTGTTACTTTGATGTGGGTATTATACGTTGTAACTTGTATTCCGTAATAACAATATATATATCAGTGTTTGTGTTGAAAATTGAGTTTGTTACATTGGTGCTTTCATCCAGACAGAGGTTTCTCATGGAGGACCAAAGACTCAAGGCTCTCATCAATGAATCCATTAAGGAGGCGAAAGAGTCATTTTCCAAAGATATTGCAGACATTCGCCATATGTTACAGGAGGTTACCGGAAAGTTCATTCCGACAGGGCCTCACATTCGAGATCCAACAATGGAGGTTGCTCGTCGTCCTCATCACGGGAAAGACACTCTTGAAGCCCCCACACTCCGTCATAGGCCAGCTCCGGTGGAACTAGGACAATTTCGTGGTGAAAATCCAGAGGCGTGGATTTTCCAAGCTGAACGCTATTTTGATTTTTACGGAATCGCAAAAATGCACAAGCTAACCTTGGCATCCTTTTATCTCAACGGTGAAGCTTTGGAATGGTATCAATGGTTGTTTTGCAACAAACAACTGGCTGGCTGGGACCATTTTGTGGACAAATTGCTTATTCGTTTTCGCTCCCGTACTAGTGACAAACAACGCGAGTTCTTACCCATTCCCAGAAACAAGAATCATAGGACAGTGGAGTACTCTCAGGCGATTAGTCCATCGTTGGTTAATATTGAGACTTTGGGTCCCATGTTGGACTCCAAATATGACTTGAAGAACAACCCAAACGGCTATTCCTGCAAAGTGTTCGCTGAAATGCCCGATAAGAAAATTGACATGGAAGTCGAACATTCAGTGATAACTGATTCAACAAATCTGGCATCCCATATGTTTGATGAAAATTTTCAAACAGTTTCTGCATTTAAGGGAGAGTACGGTGAGCTTATCATGTTTGATAATAATTGTCTTGCACTCCCTTGTTTGCCTTCGATTTTTAGTCGCACCTAACTTATGGGAAGATCTATATTTGATTACTTCAAGGAATTCGGTCATGCTAACCTCCCATTATCGTTGTATCGATTTCCACCTGATCATTTCGGGTTCAGCTTTCCATTTGATCCTGGTTCTAGTTTGCTCCCCGTAATTCTTGGCACTGCAAACAATTATTCACTCATGGTTGTGGATGATTTCAAGGAACTCATTGCGATTAATGACACTAAGAATATGGATACACCATTGGTGTCTCAAAATAAGGAGGCCAATTCAAGAAATTGTGTAGCTTGGGTCATTGACATGTCTCTTCATAGGGATACAACTAGCTTTCTGATTCCTTTAGCTAACAAGGAATACATAGTAACAAAGGGTTATATTGCACCAAAAGGGCATACAAAGTTGCTAATGAGTGTTATATCACATATCTACAATGTTGAGATTATGTTCTTTGAGTCACTTTATCTCCTAAAAGCGGAAGGTTGGAGTCGCCCTGTGATAATTTGGAGCAATGTACTGCTCATCGGTAAAGTTGTAAGAGAACTGCCTACACCTGCTTCTAACTTGCTGCTGTTAGTATGTATAGCTTCCTTAATAGCTCCAATGAGAATTCTCACAATGATATCAAATTGGTACTACTTGAACCTTGAGGACAAGGTTCTTATTGGGGCTGAAGGTATTGTTATGAATGGGCCTAGACCAGTATTGACAAAGCAGCCCAAAGCCGAATTAAAAGGCTATGTGTGGGATCCGGGTTGATAAATAGAGACTTGGGAGAGCAAAATAGGTTTATGCAAATTATGTGAAACTTTGGCTTTTTGATCCTCTCATCTCCTTTCTATGGTCTAGAATCTCATCCCCTTCTAGTTACCCTCTTCTATGTTATCTATCTATAATTAGTGTGTTGTTACTTTGTTGTGGGTATTATACGTTGTAACTTGTATTCCGTAATAACAATATATATATCAGTGTTTGTGTTGAAAATTGAGTTTGTTACAGTTGTGAAGCATTCTTTGGCTAATTTGGGATCGCTAACTACAACAACCTGATGAACTCCAAGCTTCATTCCAAAAATTGGCCCGTACTTATCTGCCATGCGCCCATGATTTTGTGAGGTAGTTGATCTGTGTCGGATCCACCCAGAAGGTGGAGATGGCCGATAATAGGCCATGCTCCGCCAGCTTCAGCTACTCTTCTACTTTTACTGGAAACTTTTTTGCCAAGAAAGAAGAAAAGAATAAAGGAGCTAGCTACTGTAACAGCAATCAAAAGGATATCCATGGCTGCTCTGCTCTGCTCTGTTTGTGAAAGGAGCTAGGAATCTTATATACAATACAAATTGTTATTGTTTTTACAATATCACATGCTCTTCAAGATTATTTTAGGTAATGAGATTTGATTTGAGTACGCACCGAATTAATAAATTCACTTATTATATGCAATAGCTCTTAAAATTATACTAGGTGTGTACGTTAAGCTCGATTCATTTAATACAGGAAAATCATATTCATAACTTCCCATATCACATGTTGTCCAACTCACGAGTACAACTTGGCCTTTTTGAGAGGTAGGATGAATTTCTCCCCACGTGATCTCATCACTACTGGCCCTAAAAAATTCTCACAAGGTACAAATTAAGAAATTATAAGGCGTCAAATATTAAGTGAATACTGTGGCCTCAACCACTAGGTACAGAATATTTTGGTCACCAGGACAGACATAATTAAAAAAATAAAAAACATGTTCTATCTCTTTAATAGTATCTTAAATTATTAAATGCGTTGATCATATATTTTAACGTTAAATTGTAGATTCAAATTACTAGGTACAGTAATATTCATGATCAAGTTCTCGAACCAATTTCTCAGTTATATTTTGAATAACATTTGATATTGAGTAAATCGACTACGAATGACCAATGTCTCGTTCGTGAGGAAGTATACGTTATTTCTACACGATGATTTTGAGTAAATCAACTAGGACTCTCTTTTTGATATCTTGCCAATAATGAGCCATAAGTGCCCAAGCACAAAAGGGAGTAGTTGTTGCCCAAGAGTTCTACTGTCAAGGCCTGGTGGTTAAGCAATCTTGGGCTATCTTATTATCATTCACCACCAAAACTTGATGGCCCTAATGTAGGACTCCTAAAATACTTTTACAATCACATTTCAAATGTAGGAATTTTGAAGTTTTGTTATTATTTGCATTACAATATTACAAACTAGTAGTAAACAACAGTGGCATGATGCACAAATTTTGTTTATCATTTCATTCATAAAGATCGGGAGCCAAGCGCGGAGCAAGGAGAACTTCGAGTGGAGAAGCTTTGAGCACTGTCAATCCAAAGCTCTCACTCATATCAATTGGTTCATCCGAAAGCCTCTTTATGTCAAACCCCTGCAGCAACATTGCTATTACAAAGGGCAAAACTTGAAGGGCTAACGAAATTCCAGGGCACATTCTTCTTCCACTACCAAATGGCATTAACTCAAAGTGATTGCCCTTTACATCGACATCCTTGTGGGTCGACAAGAACCTCTCTGGCTTAAACTCGTGAGGATTTGGCCATATATTAGGATCGTGATGAATCTTCCATAAGTTCACTAATAAGCGAGTGCCTTTTGGTATATCATAGCCACTGATAGTACAATCCTCCATCGACTCGTGTGGTACTGAGAGTGGTGCAGCCGGATATAAACGTAATCCTTCTTTAACAATAGCTTGAAGGTAAACTAAGTTTTTTATATCCGATTCTTGGACCCATCTGTTCTTGCCAACATGAGCGTCTAGCTCATCTTGAGCCTTGTGAAGTGCTTGATAGTTGTTGAGTAGTAGAGATAAAGTCCACGTTAGAGTTACGATCGTGGTGTCTGTACCTGCCGACAGCAAAGCCTAAACAAGACAAATTCAGCAATCAGATCCACATACAAGCTCAACAAAGTGCATATAGTTGATACGAGATCAGAATAGAAACAATTTTTGAGTAATTTGATCTGAAGAAACGTACCATACATGTAGCTTTGATAGCGGTATCGGCATCAAATCCAGGCAGATCTCTATCTTCACAAATGGAAAGCATGACATCCATGAAATCTTCTTCTTCACCAGATTTAATAATTTCTTTCTTCGTTTTGTGCTCTGTTAACCATTCTTCAACAACAGAGTCCATTTCTTTAGAAACCTCCTTCATTGCTTTCTCATAGCCTCCAATATCCAGCCATCTTAAATAAGGTAAAAAATCAGCCACAACAAAAGCTCCTAACAATTCGAAAAATCTTCGAATTGCTTTGTGAGCCTTATTTATTCCTTCGTCCTCATTACTCCTTCGCCCTTTTCCGAATAACATTTTCCCCATAGTATTCATAACTAAATCCCCAATCCATTCCTTCATCTCCATCTTCACAACACCATTTAAATTATTCTTCGCCCAATTATTATAAATCTCTTTAACAGATGATTTTACCTCAAATTGTCTGATGTGTTTGAGCATCTCGATTCGCCGAGCGGAGAAAAGTTCAATTGTGGCAATTTTCCTTGTTTCTCTCCAGTAAGGACCGTAAGAACAAAGTCCAAACATAGCGTGTTTGTAGCCTATAATCTCTGAAGCCATGGATTTAGGCCGGTTCGCTAGGGCTAAATCGTTTGTTGTGAAGCACTCTTTGGCTAATTTGTGATCACTCACAACTACAACCTGATGAACTCCAAGCTTCATTCCGAAAATAGACCCGTACTTATCTGCCAAGCGGCCCAACACTTTGTGAGGCAACTGATCAGATTCAGATCCACCGAGAAGGTGGAGATGGCCGATAATAGGCCATGCTCCGGCAGCTTCAGGTACCTTTCTACTACTACTACTCTGCTTTTTAGCTGAGTAAAATTGTTTGTGAAGAAAGAAAAGTACAATAAAGGAGCTAGCTAATGTAACAGCAATTAGAAAGAAATCCATGGCTAATAAAATTTATCAGTCGTCTTCTCTAATGTGGATCTATATGAAAGCGTTAGCATTTTGACATAACTTTATGTGGAAAAGATATATGGATCCTCTCCTATTTTTGGAAGACTCTTATTAAGGAAATAATAATAATATCCATTAGACAAAGGGACAAATTTGCATTGGGAATGGTGATAGTGATGGCGTGTGGACAAATGCCAAATTGTATTATATGACTTTTTGGTACACAACCCCTAAGTTATTTTCCACGCCTTTGCTGTCATTTTCTCTAGCGTACCAACAATGCTTTAAATTTTTCTTAAGTACTAAAACATTTGATTAGTTGATATATCAAAATCAATGTAATTTCACGTGGAGAGATTAAGGACTCTAGTTATATTTTCCATCATACATAACACATAATCTTGATCATAATTAATCAGTCATCTAATTAAGCATTCTCCCTCTAATTTCCTTAAGCCATGGATTTCTCTCTTGCCATTACTTATGCTAATACATTTATTATTTTTCTCTATTTCATTTACATGCCTTTTGGGATTTTTAGTAACAAAAAAGGCAACATTAACAGCAGAACACCCTCTAAAGTTGCTGGATCCTGGCCTGTAATTGGCCATCTTCATCTTCTCAGTGGATCTAATCTGCCTCACAATACATTTGGGCTCATGGCAGACAAATATGGCCCAATTTTCACAGTAAAATTTGGAGCCCATCAAGTTTTGGTGGTGAACGATAGGACGATAGCCCAAGATTGCTTTACTACCATCAAGATTTTATGGAAATAATGTTGTCCCTTTTTGAAGATGCTATAGATGAAGATCTTGATGGTTTTGATGTTGGTACTATTATAAAATCTACATGCTTGGTAAGGCTATTTTAATTAAAGTACTTTCAATATTTCTTTTTTTTTTCTCCGTGTCCGGTACCCATATTGTTGCCCCGTAACCCGATTAAACTGGGATCGGGAGGTCCCACATTATTGAGGGATAAAACGCACCCTAACAAACGCAACTCTATATTCAGGGGGATTTGAACCAAAGACATCTGGTTAAAGATGAAGAAGTACTTATCACAACCCTCGTGGGTTACTTTCAATATTTCATTTTGAAATGACATTATAATGTTTACTAATTTTTTTATTTATTTTTGGTTAAATTCCTCTTCTCAATTTTTTTCTCTTAATATTTTGGAAGGCTATGCTAGCAGGAGGATCTGACACCACAGTTGTAGCACCTAACATGGACTCTCTCTTTGTTACTCAACAGCCCTCATGTAATGCAAAAGGCCCAAGAAGAACTAGACATTCAAGTTGGAAGAAATAAACTTGTTGATGAGTCACATATAACTAACTTGGTCTATCTTCAAGCTATTGCTAAAGAATCGTTACGTTTATATCCACCTGGACCACTCTCAGCGCCTCATGAATCCATGGAAGATTGAACTATTGGTGGCTACAATATCCCTAAAGGTACTCGAGTACTATTCAACTTGTGGAAGATTCAACGGGATCCGACTGTTTGGCCAGAATCGGTTTATTCAAGCCAGAGAGGTTCTTAACGACTCATAAAGGAGTAGATGTAAAGGGAAATAATTTCGAATTGATTCCATTTAGCTCTGGAAGAAGGAGTTGTCCGGGGATTTCTTCAGCACTTGTGTTGTTGCACTTGACTTTGGCTAACGTGTTACAAGCGTTTGAAATTACAAGGCCATCTGATGAACCAATTGCCGTGACTGAGAGGCGAGAGCTTTGGTATGACTAACCTTAAAGCTACACCACTAGATATTTTCGTTGCTCCAAGACTCTCTCCAAACTTGTATCAAATATGAAGCAATGCTATATATATATTGAAATTTTAATATAAGCTTTTAATCTATAAATGTCAAGCTTCAATGTGCATTATTTAAGTGCACGCTTTCAGTTTCATTAAAGGTTCTCTTATCTTGTATATCATGCTCTAGAAAATGACATTTATTTGTATTATTTTTAAAAAATATATATATATTATGTGATTTTGAAGCTTGTCTAAAAATTAACACAAAATTTGTTCTTTATAAACCAAATATCTTTGATAAGTACGTAGACATTTGAACATAATAATTGTACAAGATATTTTGTGAATCAAACCAAGTTGCGTAAACATTACAGTATTATTTATCAGTCAAAATTTTCATGCGTGTCAAGAAAAAAAAGGAAAAAGAAAGATGTTGATCTTTTTGTAAACTTTGAATGATTCAATTTAGTTATTTGGACACTAGCGACTGTAGCTAGAAGTCAGAAGATGGGAAGAATAACTAGTCATGGCCATTGAAAATAAACAGAATTCATCCCAATAAAAATAACTACTCCCTCCGTCCACTATTCCTTCTTTTTAGAGTCAAACTATAATCAATGTATTTTTTCATCATAATGATATACAAAAAATTATAATTTATGATACTTTTCGTATAATTTTTGTATATCTAAATTTTTCCAATAAATGTTTGTCATGTGACAGTTAGTAACCTCACACGCCTCATCTCTTCAATAATGAAACTTTATCTTAAAAAACATAATTTATTATACATAGAGAGAGAGACATAATTTCAATATATATAGACATACAATTTGTTCTCTGGTTGTTGGTCTTGTTCTTTCAAAGCTACCGTCTGGCTTCTTCAACTACTATTTCATTGGTAACGTTTTCCTTCTCACTTATTTTCTTATGACTAAATATTCCGACCCCCTTTTGTTGGCTTTGTTTATTTGTTTTTTCGAGTTAGATTTCTTGTCGGATCATACGTAACTCATCTAATAATTACTATTTCATAAAGTTATTTTCTTTGTTGAAAAACAAAAATCATAATCAAGAAGTAATATATATACTACTGGTTGAGTGATCATCTGATAAATCAATCATTCGTTTCCTTGTATTGGATTGAATAATTGTTACCTCGATTATTCTGGTCTGGTGTTCATCTTAAATTTTGTTCGACATACAAAGAAGGTGAAATTGAATTATCATCAGAGAAAATCAAAGAAGGTGAGATTGCAACACAGCTAGGATTAGTTACATATTAAGTAGAATTAAGAATCATTAATTATGATTTAGGTAACACTACTAAGTAGTAATTAATAGGAGTACTTTTTTCGTTCGCTTTTACTCGTTTACTATTCCAAATATTTTCATGGAAATTAAATAGCACTTGAATTGCTTAGTCTTCTCTTGACTACTCAAAAATGTTGAAATATTACAGAAGCAACAGAGGAAAAACCAGCAGAGAATTAAAGGTGCACATTTTGCCAAATTAAAGCAATGGATTACTCTCTTGCCATTACTTATGCTACTACATTTGTCATTTTTCTCTACTTCATTTACATGCTTTTTGGGATTTTTAGTAACAAAAAAGGTAAAACACGCCCTAAAGTTGCTGGATCCTGGCCTGTAATTGGCCATCTCCATCTTTTCAGTGGATCTAATCTGCCTCACAAAACATTTGGGCTTATGGCAGACAAATATGGCCCAATTTTCACAGTAAAATTTGGAGCCCATCAAGTTTTGGTGGTGAACGATAGGAAAATAGCCCAAGATTGCTTTACTACCAACGATAAGGCTTGGCAAGCCGGCCTAAAGCGTTGGCAGTAGAGCTCTTGGGCTATAACTACGCCATTTTTGGGCTTGGCCCATACGGCCCATATTGGCGAGAAATGAAAAAAATAGTCGTACTCGAATTACTCTCCAATCATCGTGTACAAATGTTAAGACATATTCGAGAATTTGAAGTGAAAACATCTATCAAAACAACGTATGAAAGGTGGTCGAAGGAAAAGATAAATGATTCTTCAAATTTCGTCAGAATAGAAATGAAACAATGGTTTGAGAACTTGGCCATGACGATTATTATAAGAATGCTTTTTGGAAAAGGACACGATTTTGAAGAAGGAAAAAGGGCTAGAAATGTAATGACAAATTTTTTTAAGTTACTTGGTGCATTTGTCGTAGCTGATTTTATACCATCACTAAGATGGTTTGATATAGGAGGATATGAGAAGGAAATGAAGAAGAATGCTAAGGAAATAGATTATATTCTTAAAAAATGGCTAGTAGAACACAAGAAAAAGACAAGTTGTGGAGAAAATAAATGTGAGGATGATAAAGATTTTATGGATATACTGTTGTCCCTTTTCGAAGATGCTATGGATGAAGATCTTGCTGGTTTTGATGCTGATACTATTATCAAATCTACATGTTTGGTAAGTTTATTATAATCTACTCTTTCTACTTTTTATTCTATTTGTGTGGCTATAAAAGTCCGTCAATTATTAGAGGTAAAATGAAGATTTTGAATTAATGGGCGGGGGTTGTTTTTACAAAATATAAACTTGTGGGTCAATTTTTATATTTGAAAAATCTCAAATCATGATTTTTGGAGGCTTTGAAATTTCATTTCATGATATGAAATCAACACAAAATATGTCATTTTTTCGAAACGGACTAAAAATGAAAGAAAGTTATACAAATTGGAATGGAATAGAGATAGTATACCTTTTCTTTTTAATCTGACATATATTATACACCATATATGCTATATCTGAATTTTAGTCTTTTCATTTATAAAAGTCATTATATAATTTAGTAATTTCTTTTTCTCCTTTTTCCTATTTTGGAAGTCTATGTTAGCAGGGGGATCCGACACCATAATTGTAGCATTAACATGGACTCTCTCTTTGTTACTCAACAACCCTCATGTAATGCAAAAGGCCCAAGAAGAACTAGACATTCAAGTTGGAAAAAATAAACTTGTTGATGAGTCACATATAAATAGCTTGGTCTATCTTCAAGCTATTGCTAAAGAATCGTTACGTTTATATCCACCTGGACCACTCTCAGCGCCCCATGAATCCATAGAAGATTGCATTGTTGGTGGCTATAATATCCCTAAAGGTACTCGAGTACTATTCAACTTGTGGAAGATTCAACGGGATCCGATCGTTTGGCCAGAACCCGATTTATTCAAGCCAGAGAGGTTCTTGACGACTCATAAAGATACAGATGTTAAGGGAAATCATTTTGAGTTGATTCCATTTGGAGCTGGAAGAAGAATTTGCCCCGGGATTTCGTCAACACTTGTGTTGTTGCACTTGACTTTGGCTAACGTGCTACATGCATTTGAAATTACAAGGCCATCTGATGAACCAATTGACATGACTGCAAGTTTTGGGACGAAAACTACACCACTCGAGGTTCTCATTGCTCCAAGATTGTCCCCAGATTTGTACTATTAATAACTTCTGTCACTGAACTTAAATCAAGACTTTTGGAGAGCTTTTTTCTTAAGACATAACTTCTATCACTAAACTTATGTCCTGTGACATAATTTGTGCCCGAAACGTATGTTGTCCTGTGGTATAACTTGAGTCATTGAACTTATCTTAGAGCATAATTCGGGTTATTAAACTTATGCATTGAACTTAATCTATTTTGCTTCCAAGGATGTTTCCCCTCTTTCCGTCCATCGTCTTTTCCCCTTTATGTCTTCTTCAGAGAGGGATGGGCTCCTTGCTAGAATTGCTACCACCCTTTCTCATGACTTTTCTTTGCCAAAAAAAATCCAACGTATGAAGCAAGCAGAACTTATGCCTTGGGGCACAATTTATGTCTTGACTTATTTTTATTTTGCCTTGGTGCATAACTTATGCCTTGCGGTTATTTTTTTATTTTTTTCGTTGTTAGGGACAATTCCTATCATTTTTTATTTCAAATTTTTAAAGATAAAAATTAAAAGCCATCAATTTTAAGGAGAAAAAATTAAAAAACACTCCCAAAAAAAAGTATTTGTGTGAAGGTCTTATTATTGCCTTCTTGGATCCTAGTTTATGCTACTAAAATAAAATATCAATCCTACTCTCTTATTATTTAACGCTACTTAGCACCGCTAATTATGTGGTTGTGTGAGAGGAAAGCATGATCAATTAGAGTTAAGTAGCATAAAGTAGGAATGACAGAAAGGAAGAGGAAGACTGCTTTTAAGTACTCCCTTTATTTTATATTAACTGAATTTTTTAGTCTTTTTTCATTGTTCATAATAATTGAATTGTTCAAAGTTTAAAATGAATATCTGAAATATTTTCTATATTTGCCCTTTTCTTTAAAAAAGTTTGATATCTTCTAAGAGATAAATTGCACTATTTACAAAGTTACGCTTATGATTTCACAAAAGACAATAATAGAAATTATGATTTAATAATATAATTAGTGTGCATTGTCTCAAAATTCAGTTAATATGGAATAGAGGGAGTATCGTTCATAAGTGTTAGGTAAGAGGAGAACAAGATAAATTAGAAGATTGATTAAGTACATGTTATTAAGTGGCGTTAAGTATAATTAAGTACCTATCATTAAATAGCGTTAGGTAAGAGGGGAGTAGGATTATTAATTATATAGAGTAGCATAAAGTAGGAATAAGGAAGACGTTTCAAGTATCTATCAAGTATTAAAAAGTATGTTAATTATGATTTTATGATTAAGTAGCGTTAGGTAACACTAATAAGTAGGAATAATTACTTCTACTGTTTCACTATTTCAAAAATAGTTTTTTTTTTATTTGTTACTTCTTCATGTTGTACTCTTTCAACATTAAATACTTACTCGCAGTGGTACAATATTATAGAAGCAACACACCAAATTGAGGAAAAAACAGCAAACCATTCTTTCAAATTAAAGCAATGGATTTCTCTCTTGCCATTACTTATGCTACTACATTTATTATTTTTCTCTACTTCATTTACATGCTTTTTGGGATTTTTTGTACCAAAAAAGGTACAACACCCCCTAAAGTTGCTGGATCATGGCCAATAATTGGCCATCTCCACCTTTTCAATGGATCTAAGATGCCTCACAAAACTCTTGGGCTCATGGCAGACAAATATGGGCCAATTTTCACAGTAAAATTTGGATCCCATCAAGTTGTGGTGGTGAACAATAGGAAGATAGCCCAAGATTGTCTTACTACCAACGACAAGGCCTTGGCAAGCCGGCCTAAATCGTTGGCATTAGAGGTCTTGGGCTACAACTACGCCCTTTTTGGTATGTGCCCTTACGGCCCATACTGGCGAGAAATGAAAAAAATAGTTGTACTCGAATTACTCTCCAATCATCGAGTACAAATGCATCGACACATTAGAGAATTCGAAGTGAAAACATCCCTCAAGCAAATTTATGAAGTGATGAATGGTTCTCCAAATATTGTGAAAATAGAAATGAATCAATGGTTCGAGAACTTGACCATGAACGTTATTTTAAGAATCCTTTTCGGTAAAGAACATGATTTTGAAGTAGAGAGGGCTAGAAAAGCAATTCGAACTTTTATGAATTTATTTCGTGTATTTGTTGTAGCTGATTATATGCCATCACTAAGATGGTTAGATATAGGAGGATATGAAAAGGAAATGAAGGAAAATGCTAAGGAAATAGATTATAATCTTGAAAAATGGCTAGTAGAACACAAGAAAAAGAGAAGTTGTGGAGAAAATAAATGTGAGGATGATAAAGATTTTATGGATATAATGTTGGCCCTTTTTGAAGATGCAATGGATGAAGATCTTGCTGGTTTTGATGCTGATACCATTATCAAATCTACATGCTTGGTAAGTCTATTTTAATTGAACTACTTTCTACTTTTTATTTTTATTTATAAGGTAATAAAAAGATGAAATGAAGGAGGATATTTTCAATACTTCATGCAAATTTACTAATATTTTTTTCCTATTTTGGAAGGTTATGTGGGCAGGAGGATCTGACACCATAGTTGCAGCACTAATATGGATTCTCTCTTTGTTACTCAACAACCCTCATGTAATGAAAAAGGCCCAAGAAGAAATAGACATTCAAGTTGGAAGAAATAAATTTGTTGATGAGTCACATATAAATAACTTGGTTTATCTTCAAGCTATTACTAAAGAATCGTTACGTTTATATCCACCTGGACCACTCTCAATCCCTCATGAATCCATGGAAGATTGCACTGTTGGTGACTATACTATCCCAAAAGGTACTCGAGTACTATTCAACTACTGGATGATTCAACGAGATCCAACCATTTGGTCAGAACCTGATGTATTTAAGCCAGAGAGGTTCTTGACGACTCATAAAGATATAGATGTTAAGGGAAAACATTTTGAATTGATTCCATTTGGTGCTGGAAGAAGAATTTGCCCCGGAATTTCCACAACACTAGTGTTGTTGCACTTGACTTTGGCTAACGTGCTACATGCATTTGAAATTACAAGGCCATATAATGAACCAATTGACATGTCTGCCAATTTGGGGATAAAAGAGACACCACTCGAGGTTCTTCTTGCTCCAAGATTGTCCCCAGATTTGTACTACTAAATATAAACTCCTTATTAGTAAACTCTAAATAAAAAAAATATGTCATTTAACAATAAACACCATTGAAACGTACTCTTTTAAAAATACATATTATCAAAGAGTACTAAAGCCTTTACCTGCATTAATTAATTGTCATTGGATCCAATGTTGCTATAACTATGCTTTAGGGACATTTACAAAGAGTACTAATTGCCGTTAAAAATACATTTTAGCTATAATTAAGCTATTGCCGTAATTAACTGCTGCTAAAGATCATTTGTAGTATCGTGCATCTTCACTATAGTGTTCATAATTAAACAATTCGCTCATCTCTATGTTCACAGCACCATATTTGTTTGCGAAGATAGAAGAAAATAAAGAAGGAGATAGCTAGTGTAAGGGCAATCAGAGAGAAAACCATGGCTATATTAAATATCGTATAAAATTAATACATAAGTTAGGAATGAATTTATACACATAATTAATCAGTGCATCAATTACTTAAATTTCTTCATGATGTAACTTTATTCATGTGTTAGTAAAACATGCCATGTGTTAGTAAAACATGCATGATTTTAAGTAGTTATCAAATGACCCCATATTGGTTACGTTTGTCTGCCATTATATTGATAAGTAACTTCTCATTGATGAATCCAATATTTGAAAACGAAAAGACAATTCTTCTATAAGAGCTTGTTTGAATTGATTTATTTTAACCGTTTGTAAGTTAAATGGAGTACTATTATTATAAAGATCTCTTCGTTTCAGATCTCATATATATATATATATATATAGAAATCTTCCGTAAAACAAACATAAAACTAAAATACAACATTGTAATTATCAAAAAATTATAGCATAATTATAGCCTTAATTTACTGAAAAGGATCAGCTTTTCATTCATAATAAAGATTAGAATTCAAGCGTGGAGTAAGGTGAACTTCGAGTGGAGAAGCTTTAAGAATTGTCAATCCAAAGCTCTCACTCATATCAATTGCTTCATCTGAAGGCCTCTTAATATCAAACCCCTGCAGTAAAATAGCTAACACATTGCACAACTTGAAGGGCGAACGAAATACCGGGGCAAATTCTTCTTCCAGTACCAAACGGAATCAACTCAAAGTGATTACCCCTTACATCAACATCTTTGTGAGTAGTCAAGAACCTCTCTGGCTTAAACTCGTGCGGATTTGGCCATATTTTAGGATCGTTATGTAACTTCCATACGTTCACTAATAAGCGAGTCCCTTTTGGTATATCATATCCACTAACAACACAATCCTCAATCGACTCGTGGGGTAGTAAAAGTGGTCCTGGTGAATATAAACGTAACGATTCCTTAACAATAGCTTGAAGATAAACCAAGTTCTTGATGTCCGATTCTTGAACCCATCTATTCTTGCCAATATGAGTGTCTAGTTCATCTTGGGCCTTTTTTAATGCTTCGTAGTTGTTTAGGAGTAAAGATAAAGTCCATATTAGAGTTACGATTGTGGTATCGGTACCTGCCGATAGCATAATCTACCAATCCAAAAACCAAAAAATTCAGCAGTTCATTTCACTAAATATGAACATAATGAGTGAAAAAATAATACTACTACTCCCATGTGTCCTATGAACACTACTTATTCCTTTATTTAGTATTTCTTAGTTTCAACATTTGCACGTGACATATTTAAGATCACAATATTTAAACAACATTTTGATGTGTTTTTAACTAGGAAAGTAACTAAGAACATACCATACAAGTAGTTTTGATAGTGGTATCAGCATCAAAACCATGAATATCTTTGTCTTCACACATGGACAACATGACATCCATGAAATCATCTTCATCCTTACATTTATTTCCCCTTAATTTCCTCTTTCTTCTATGCTCAGCTAACCAATCTTCAACGATAAAGTCGATTTCTTTCGCAGTCTCTTTCATGGCCTCCAATATCCAACCATCTTAGATAAGGTAAAAAATCAGCCACAACAAAAGCACCCAACAATTCAAAAAGTCTCCGAATTGCTTTGTGAGTTTTACTTTTTTGTTCATCTTCATTACCTGTTACATAGGCGGATCTAAGATTTAAAAATTCTTGAAAATATGAGCACAAAACATAATACTTTTTACTATTACTTAATAACATAAATACAAAATTATATATATATATACCTTTATATTGTACTCCAAATAGCATCTTGACCATAGTGTTCATAATTAAATTCCCAAACCATTCCTTCATCTCCATCTTCACAACACCATTTAAATTACTAATACTATTATTATAAATCTCTGTAACAGCTGATTTAACTTCAAATTGTTTGATGTGTTGGAGCATTTCGATTCTCCGAGCTGAAAAGAACTCAATGGTGACTATTTTTCTTATCTCTCTCCAGTAAGGCCCAAGCCCAAACATGGCGTAATTGTAGCCCAATATCTCTGAACCTATGGATTTGGGCCGAGTTGCAAAGGCCCTGTCATTTGTAGTGAAACATTCTTTGACTATTTTGTGATCACTCACAATTACTACTTCATTTACTCCGAGCTTTAATCGAAAAATAGGACCGTATTTTTCTGCCATTTGGCCATAGATTTTGTGAGGCATTTGAGGTTCGTTGAGGAGGTGGAGATGACCGATAATCGGCCATGCTCCGGTAGCTTCTGGTACATTTTTACTCTGCTTTTTAGCTGAGAAAAATAGTTTGCGAAGATAGAAGAAAAGAAGGAAGCAGATAGCTAGCGTAAGGGCAATTGGAGAGAAATCCATGACTATGATGATCAATTTGTTAGCCTTCTTTTTAAAGTGAATGAAAATGTATTAAAATTATTATCAAATAAATTATGAATTATTTCATACACAGATAATTAATCAGTGCATCAATTACTTAAATTTCCTTATGATGTAACTTATTCATATGTTTTATCAAAACATGCATATATGATTTTATGTAGCTATCAAACAACCCTATATTGGTTAATGGTTACGTTTGTCTGCCTTTATATAGATACTTAAGCTTTTCGAAAAAATAAATAAATTATACACGTCTGAATTCTGTGCACCGCATTATTGACTAGTGGGCCAAAAATGACCTACTTTAAGTTTAGGATGAACCATTTTTTATAGAAAAACTACCTAAATGGGCCATAAAACTCAAAATAATTACATGTTCATACTTTAATCCAAAGTAATTCAAGAAATACTCATTCTCTCTCTCAAAAAAAAAAGAGCAACTTTCACATATAGCAAACATAAAATAATATTTGTGTGCTATAATTATAGTTTGCGTAATTGCGCTCCATAGCAAACATAAATATGTATATTTCGCTATACATATACAAAAGAAAGCAATTGTATAATCTGTTTCGGTATACATATACAAAAGATCAATTGTATAATTTGTGTTTGTATAAAGCGAGAAAGAGAGAAAGACAAAAGAAAACTGGGCAAGAGAAGATCGTATTTGTATAATCATAAGTGTATAGGACAAAAATATATGCATTTGTATTTATATATACAATTTTCTCTCGCTTTATACAAACACAAACGCAATGTATACATTTGTGTTTGTATAAAGTGAGAGATGTGAGTGAGATCTGGGAAAAGGGAGAGAGGGGAATGGAAATATATGTATATATACAATTTTCTCTCGCTTTATACAAACATAAATACATTTTATACATTTGTGTTTGTATAAAAGCGAGAGAAGCGAGGGAGACTGCCCAACGAGAACGAGAGTGGCGAGCGAGATTCACCAGGAGAGAGGCGAACTAACAACAGTTTGCTATGGGGTACAATTAAATCAAACTATGGTTATAACATTTAATTTGAATTAATAGTTTGCTATTATATACAATTTTCCCAAAAAAAAATAGTTACACCCTATACCCCATTCATTAAGGCAGATAATTTTCGCTTAACTGATATTAAATCAGTATCACATATTGTATTGATATCATTAAGGATGATAATATCACTTAACAAATACTAAATCAATATATATATATATATATATATATACTAAATTAAGTTTTAAGGCTGATAATATCACTTAGCTGATACTAAATCAGTATATATATATACTAAATTAAGTTTTTTTTTTCATATTTGTTTTTTCAATCAGATTTGTAAATCATATTTCAAGAGAACTTAACAACTAATAATGTCTAAGATTCACACTGAAAATGGAGCAAAAATGTATTTTCTTAATATGTATCCGAGATATTTGTATTTGGAGATCAAAATAGGTGATATGAATGACAATATCGAAAACTCATGAAAAGATAGATTATTAGCAGATAAACTAATGAGATATGTATTTACCACGGGAAAATACTGGAAGTTACATGCTGATATTTAACTTTCACCATTATGGTGGATCAATCCAAAATTGGATCATTTTAGGGCAACGTGTGTAATTTCTACTATATTATAAAAGGGAGTTTAGGACCAAGTATAATATATAATATTCAAGATTGAGACTTTCTTGAATATTATATATTATATTTATTATATAGTAGAACTTGGGCATAAACTCCCTTTTAAAATAATATATATATGTCACAAATGGAAAAGTCTCAATGTTGCTTATCATTTACAAATGACTTAATAAGTATTAAAATTACAATAATTACCAATTTAAAATATTTAAAAGCTATTTAATAAAATAGGTTCACTCTCAGAATTCAGGCTCACATATATTGGGACAGAAAAAATAACACATATCATTTTAAAATTACCAAAAAAGTATTATAAATAATAATAATTAACAACTTAAAATATCTGAAAGACATTTTAAAAGGGTTAATTTTGTAATTTTATCCATATCACATAAATTAGGACAAAGTGACCAGTAATGTATGTTATTTCAAAGTTACATAAAAATATTATAAATCACAATAATTAATAACTTAAAACATTTTTAAAAAAAAATATTGAAAATTTGGATGACTCTCCGAATTTCATTTGTGTCACATAAATTGAGACAACAAAAATAACATATATTGGGTCCATTTTAATTTATTTGTCTTATTTTTTTTTGTTTTTTTTTATATTTAAAAATTGGGTAAAAATACTATAAATCATGATAATTGACAACATAAAATATGTTTTGAAAAAAATACAAAAAATTCCATTGATTCTTGAAGTGAATCTATCGTAAAAATACTATAAATCATGATAATTGACAATATAAAATATTTACAAAATGTTGTATGTGGGTAGTCTTATTATGCCTTAAATAGCGTCAAAGAAAGTACAGGTTTGTGATAAAAAAACTTAATCCTTTATCCACGCAAACAATTGCTTCAAAAACTCGGTTATTAGCCCCAAAACATACCATTTATATTATTGGACCCGTGCATAGCACGGGCAACATTATCTAGTATTTTTATAAAATGTACTCTGAATTTACTTTTACGTGTTTCTTCAAAATTAAATAAAATTATATTAATTTAATATTTAAATATTTAAAAACTATTCAAAAAATGTGTCCATGCATTTGTACCCTATGATTGCAAAGTAATTCGAGTACAACTATTTTTTTCATTTCTCGCCAATATAGGCCATAAGGGCCCATACCAAAAAGGGCATAGTTGTAGACAACGCTTTAGGCTACTTTGCCAAGGCCTTGTCGTTGATAGTAAAGCAATCATGGGTTATCTTCCACCACCATTGTGAGTAAGTATTAAACGTTGAAAAAGTACATTATGAAGAAGTAACAAATAAAAGTAAAAATTAATTTTTGAAATAGTGAAACTGTAGAAATACTTATTCCTACTTATTAGTGTTGCCTAACCCTACTTAACCATAAATCAAAATTAACAATACTTAATACTCCCTCCGTCCAACAATAGTTATTCACTATACTATGTTGGGATCAGATGTCCAATAATAATTGTCCATTTTATGAAATCAATGGATAATTTTAAACTTACTCAAAGGGTAATTATAATACGTAATTTCTCTATTACATTTTTCAAGACATTGTATTTATTTTATTCGAATGGTGATATAGTAAAATTACCCTTCTTTCTCCTCTTCCTTATTTACTTTATGCTACTCAACTCTATATAATTAATTAATCCGTATCCCCTCTTACCTAACGCTACTTAATCATACTTAACGCCACTAAATAATAGGTACTTAACCAGTCTTCTAATTAATCCTGCTCTTCTTTTACCTAAAGCTACTTTACAATAGGTACTTAATCATACTTAACACCATCTAATAACATGTACTTAATCAATCTTCTAATTGATCCTCCTGATCTCCTCTTACTTAACAATAGTTACTTGATCATACTTAATGCCACTTAATAACATGTATTTAACCAATCTTCTAAAAAAATTACTCTCCTCTTACCTAACGCTACTTAATAGTAATAGATACTTAATTATATTTTATACCACTTAATAACATGTGCTTATTGCTTAACCAATTTAACTTTCACCATCATGGTGGATAATTTTTCAATCCAGGAGCGGGCCATTTTAGGCCCACCTGTGTAATTATATTTAAAAAACGTACTATGAGTTTACATTTACTTGTTTCTTAAAAATTAAAATTTAAATATTTTAAAACAATTAAAAAAAAATACTATAAATTGAAAAGAAGGCTAACTACGTAACAAATTGATCATCATAGTCATGTATTTCTCTCTGATTGCCCTTACACTAGCTATCTCCTTCCTTTTTTTCTTCTATCTTCGCAAACTATTTTTCTCAGCTAAAAAGCAGAGTAAAAATGTACCAGAAGCTGCCGGAGCATGGCCGATTATCGGTCATCTCCATCTCCTCAAATGCCTCACAAAATTTTCGGCCAAATGGCAGAAAAATACGGTCCAATTTTCCGATTAAAGCTGGGAGTAAATGAAGTAGTAATCGTGAGTGATCACAAAATAGCCAAAGAATGTTTCACCACGAATGACAGGGCCTTTGCGAACCGGCCCAAATCCATAGGTTCAGAGATATTGGGCTACAATTACCCCATATTTGGGCTTGGGCCTTATGGGCCTTACTGGAGAGAGATTAGAAAAATAGTCACCACTGAATTCCTTTCAGCTCGGCGAATCGAAATGCTTAAACACGTTAGAGAATTTGAAGTAAAATCAGCTGTTAAAGAGACTTATGAATATTGGCTGAAAAATAATTTAAATGGTGCTGTGAAGATAGAGATGAAGGAATGGTTTGGGAATTTAATTATGAATACTATGGTCAAGTTGCTATTTGGAGTACAATACACAGGTATTTAATTTTGAATTTAATCATCAATATGTTATTACATATATATGACTAAGTAAGTATTATTCAAAAAATCTCGAAATTCCAACTGTCACAAACATAGAATTAAGTTTTGAGTTCATATAGTACTTGTAGAAATCTGGATGTTGAACGAAATTTAAATTTTGGATTCACCTACCTCTGTAACAGGTAATGAAGATGAAGAAAGGAGTAAAGCTTACAAAGCAATTCGGAGACTTTTTGAATTGTTGGGGGCTTTTGTTGTGGCTGCTTTTTTACCTTATCTAAGATGGTTGGATATTGGAGGACATGAGAAGATCATGAAAGCGACTGCTAAAGAAATTGACTTTATTGTTGAAGATTGGTTAGCTGAGCATAGAAGAAAGACGAAATTAAGGGGAAATAATTGTGGGGATGAAGAAGATTTCATGGATGTCATGTAGTCAATTTGTGAAGATAAAAATCTTCATGGTTTTGATGCTGATGCCATTATCAAAGCTACTTGTATGGTACGTTCTAAAAATGCATAAATAATATGTAAACCTGTCTTTTAACTTGGCACTTATAACATTAGTGATTATTAATATCTTGCTATATATTGTGAAATGTGGAGTTGATTGCTGAAATTGGCAATTTCTGCAAACGGCAGGTACCGATACCACAATCGTAACTCTAATATGGATTTTATCTTTACTCCTAAACAACTACGAAGCATTAAAAAAGGCCCAAGATGAGCTAGACACTCATATTGGCAAGAACAGATGGGTTCAAGAATCGGACATCAAGAACTTGGTTTATCTTCAAGCTATTGGATTGACAATTCTCAAAGCTTCTCCACTCGAAGTTCACCTTACTCCACGCTTGGATTATAATCTTTATTATGAATAATAAAATGTTGATCTTTTCTAATAAATTAAGGTTCTAATTATGCTATATTGATAATTACAATGCTGTATTTTAGTTTTATGTTTGTTATATGGGAGTGTAGACATAAAAATTCTCGTCCAGAAAATAATAATCAAGATAAAAAAATATTGTAATTATTGCGTATTTATTTGTTATTAAAATATGAGTGTTACAATTCTCTATGAATCTTCTGATTCATTTTTTTGAATATAAATTCAAGGGCTCTTGAGCTTTATCTTGAATTCAGCGACTTTGATTGTTGTGAACCAAGTTAACTTTGTAAGGGCGTATGAGTTAGAAGTGGTGAACGAGATTGAAGTGTTTTATTTGGGATCCAGGCCCAATTAACATTTGGTTAAAAGGGAGAAAAAGTTTGAAAGAAGGGTTAATGGATATTGAAGAAAAATGCCCATCCTCTTCTTCTTCGAGAGTCACTACAAGAAAGTATACTTATTGCTACGAAATTTAAGCTATGAATTTTAAAATTGTAGCTATTACCTAGTAATAGCCATAAAAATTTAAATTTTGTGGCTATTTAAAAATTCGGTCAAATTTCTTTGCCACGAATATTAAGTTGACAAAGCTAAATCCTTATTTGCTATATTTGCTAACAATAGTGGCAATAACTATCTAAATTGCTACAATTATATTGCTACAATAAAATTCTGTAGCTAATTATAACTTTTTTGCTACGCAATAAAAATAATTGTAACAATAGTAACTCTTTAGCCACAATAAGTTATTTAAAATAAAATATCGTAGCAAAATAAATAATTTTGCTTCAAGTTATAAAATGATGTGTCAATAGTTAAATGAAATAGCCATAGAATTTTTGCTACCGCAAAATTTCGTAACTAATTACTATTTTTTGCCACAAATTTAAATTTATCATAGTAATAATAACCTTTTAGCCACAATAACTTATTTGAAGAAATATTTGTAGCTAAATAAATAATTTATCTTTATAAAATATTGTGGCAAAAATTAAACGAAATAGCCATAGATTTTCTTCTATAATAAAATTTCATAGCTGATAATTAATTTTTGCCACGAGTTTAAATTTATCATAGTAATAATAACCTTTCAGCCACAATAAATTATTTGAACAAAAAAATTGAGGCTAAATATTTTTTTTCAAGTTATATAAGTTATGACATATTAAAAATATAATCATAGATTTTTTGCTAAAATACAATTTTATAGTTAATTATTATGTTTTTTCATGATCATGTTGAAACTTGTTGAAGCAATAGTCACCGTTTATCCATAAGAAGTAATTTAAAATAAAATCTTATAACTTAAAAATATTATGTTTCGAGTAGCACAATTAGAGATGTTAATCTTTCTATCAATTCAATTTTACAAGATCTTAATTTTTCAGTTGTAAGTATAATTTAAATAAATAGAAGTTATACAAAAATTAAATTAATAAATAGACGTTATGCCTAATTAATTTGATGTAATTGTACTTTTTTTAATAGAAAAAAATATGTATAAACAATTTACAAATCATTAAATAATGTCATATTTATTGAAATATGCCATATGAATTATTCTGGAATATAGTTAGATAAATCAATTTTTTATTGAATTTATATTTATATATATATATATATATAATATAATATGAGAAGTCAAAAGTATCATATGTGAGCACCACAAAATTTCTCAATTATTTTATTTTTAAAAAATCAGATTTTTTTTAAAAAAGTAAAAACTAAAAAATTATATTACAAATCCGTTAAATTTTTAAAAGTAAAAAAAAAACTACGTATTTATTTAACATAATCTTTTTAAAAAATAGTTATCACAGTTAATATAACTCTTTTTTTTTATAAAAAAAAAAAAGGATGATTGATTGTACATGAGGCTAGAATTTATATTATTTTGAACTCTTATTTTTATCATAATTAGAATACTTATCTTTATTGATTGACATTTATTTAATTATTTTAAAAATAATAAAGAAGCAAATGAAAAATACAAACACAAAGATAACCTATATGTAATAGTATATAATTATTAATTAAAAATCTCTAGATAATATGCATTATTTAAAAATAGAAAGTAAAAAAAATTGTTAATCCAAAAAAAAAAAGAAAACTCACGTCCTTGGAAAAAGCAAAAAGTTAGCCATGATCAACTACCTAAAATTTAAAATTGAAATTTCAAAAAATAACTAACCTTATCCTTAAAAATCATTTAAACCTAATAAGCACGTCTTTGAAAAAATACTACTCTTAACTTCAACATCTATACCTTCTTAAAATTAACTCTTCAAAATACGATTCCAAATTTGTGTTAAGAAAAAATAACATCCAAACAAAAATATGAGTACAATTACTAAGATCATAAAAGAAAGAGTTAGTATATTAATGTATTGTTTGGTCTGCAATTATTTTTTATGATTGAAGGGATCACCACCTAATTTTTTTATTTTTTATTTTTTATTTTTTAAAATGATAACTGATTTTACATGTGGCTAAAGTTTGTGTTATTTTGGACTCTTATTTTTTTTTTTATCATAATTCAAATACTTATCTTGTTTGATTGACATCTATTTAATTATTTTAAAAATAATAAAGAAGCAAATGAAAAATACACACAAATTTGTTTTTTAACAAAAACTACACATTAATATGACTCCAATAAATACTACTTTCTCATTCAAAATCAAATCATATAGAGTATTATTAAAATTAATTTAAATTATAAAAACAAAAATAAAAATAAAATTTGAAACACTAACTTTTTTTTGAAAATTACTACCAATCTAATTTTTATTATTGCTTTAACTTTCTTCCTAAAATATGCTCTCAAATCTTAATTGTTTATTGCAATATACAATTCAAAAGAATGTTAGCCAAATTTGACTATATATATAATAATAATAATAATAATAATAATAATAATAATAAGCAGTGAAAAATGTAATAAAAAAAAAGAGAAGCATATCAAAATTATTTGATGAATATATGATGTTCTTATTTTATTTTTTAAAAAACGAAATATTTTTGAATATTATTCAGATCTAATGTATTCTAAAAATAGAATTGAATTGTGATATCAAAATAAAATAATTCATGGTGATTGAAGGTTTATGTATAACTAAGAGCCTGCTTGGTGTAAGATTATTTCGATTAAAATATAACTTTTATATTTGATTTGAAAAATAAACATATCTCTAAAAAAATAAAAATAAAGAGACAAAATAAAATAAAATGTAAAACTAACTAAAAATAAATTAATTTTAAAATATTAATTTATGAAAGTATATTCATCTGAAAAAAATATATTGTACTAAATTTTAGAATATAATTATACAGTTTTATTTTTAACATATCACATAATTGATATACGACTTTCTTTTTAAAAAAAAAGACAAAATACAAAATTTTGAATAACATGCCTACATTTTGATTTTACGTGATTAAAACTTTTTTGTTATATGCTTAGCATTGTAGAAATCTCACATCTAGGATTAGAGAAATCAAGGATTGTATTAATGAAAATAATGTTGAGTTACAACCTCCTTATATAGGGAGAGAATTGTAGAGTCCTAAGTTAATTATACTTAGAGTCCTACTACAATACCTATTACTATTATAATAATAATAATAATGCAATTATAAATAATCTAATCCTAGTCGTAATATAATCCTAATCATAATATAATTCTAGTCGAAATATAATCCTAATTAATATAAGTAGTCTAATCGTAGTGCGACTCTAATTCTAGAGCAGTGCTGGAAACTCGTCAGTCAGCTTCGTTGGACCTGTTCCTTTGACATGTTCCAATCGTCAGCTTCCTTCTTCTTCAACACTTCCCCTCAAGCTAGTGAGTAGAGGGAATGGTTACTCCTAGCTTGATTCGAATACGCAACAAAAAAAAACTTTGAAAACCCAGCAAAAACTTTTTTTGTCAATGCTTCAGTATGAATGTGATGTCTATTCATTGCTTGTGATAGTTCATCTGCAGATTGATACGGGTAGTTCCACCAGTAAAAACACTTAAGAGTAGTATGATTATTCCTACCACAAATTTGACATGACTCAATATTATTCCTCTCCTTATTTTCACTTTGAGAACTTTTATTGTTCAGAGAACCTGGTCCATATTGACTGTTCTGAGAACCTGTTCCCTGTCCAGTAGGCTTGAAACCTGTTTCTTTGGAGTTGATGTTGTTGTTTCCTCTTCCCCTGCCTTTTTGGGTAGAGAATACCATGTTATGATTTTGTTGTGACACCTTTTCTTCATCTTCCCTTATATCAAAACTTGTGAGAGTATAAACAAATTGATTAAGGGTGGAATATGGTGTCTTAAGATCAAGCAAGCGGATGCAATCAAAGAGCATCACCACTTTCTCCGTCTTAGACATTTTTGACTACTTCGAATGGAATGCTACCAACCAACTCGACAAAGACATTCATATATGAAAAAGATAAAGAAAGACGTGTTAAGCTTGTGTTTTCCCAGCCGACTCACACACGACCTTCTTTTTTTTCGATTGAAGAGTCGGACTCCTTGGAAAAATAG